GATCGTTTTTATTATAGATACCCATTTTTTTATGAAAAGTGACAGAAATTGCCCAGTTTTATGGGCTTGTTAGTGCAGACCCTAGAGCGTTTCCTTCAACCTTACATCTTGTATGCTGTCTGGAAGATGAGCCCCAGGGAAATAGAATTATGTTTCTTCACTTAAATGACGCTCTTGTCAGCCTCCATTTCAAATCAAGCCATTTTCTATTTATAGAAGACATAGATGCAGAAATATATACTGACTTTCTATTTATAGAAGACATAGATGCAGAAGTATATTCACTTTCTATTTATAGAAGACGTAAAAGTAGGTACCTCTGCTAATTCGCTGAAAAGACAGCATACCACAATGAAAAAGGGCCCCAAACAGGATAAAAAGAAAGTTTTATCGTCAGAATGTTTATTGCTATTATTAAGTTAATGAACTATCTCAGTGGCACAGAAAAGCATTACAAAAGAAAATAGGTTTATCTGGACACAGAACCCTCACAGCTCAATGGGGATTAGACTTGCTTGTAGGTATTTACCCTTGTCTACTCACTGAGACGGGATGTGACACAAGATTGGGTGTAACATAGGTAAGTCGAGTGCGTACAGCCAGGCAGAAGACAAAAGTTTCCGAGTCCCCGCAACCGTCACTGATCTCGGTAGCGACTACGGATCCCCTCTTTGTAAAATTCGATTCCCCGCCAAACCAAGCTAGTAACTTTTAATCACCACCGATCTGACGCTGATGAAAATTTGCACTCTTGATATGGCACCTTTCTATGAATGCCTATTGGGATATATTGTTTAATAAATACTCGAATAGAGTCTCCACTAAAAATAACGTTTAAAGTGATAAAATATGTCGGATATATATATATATATTATTTGGTAATCCGTATAGATAATTCCAAAGAGAATATAAATACAAAGAGAGCTCAATGTAAAAACAGAGCAAATGATAATTATTATAAAAACGAAGACTTTACGAGATCATAGTGATATTTTACTTCGTTAGAACAGATATCGGTTCCAACTCATCAGTCCACTTATTCAAATACAAAAATATATGTATTTGAATATGCGATCTGATGAGTTGGAATCGATATCGGTTCTAACGAAACAGAATATCACCATGATCTCTTAAAGTTTCGTTTTTATAACAATTATATATATATATATATATATATATATATATATATATAAATGAAATGGATTAAGTCCGACAATTATTTAATATATTTTATTTTATAGGTTATTATTAGATACAATTTATTTAAGTAAAAGCTCTGTTTTTAATTAAACAGTGTTAATCAAGTATTTTTGTACGAAATTTCTCGAACATTCTGACCGGTAAATGTAATTAATACTGTTTAATTAAAAAACAAACCATTTACTTAAATAAATTGTATCTAATAATAAAACAAAAAACAAATATATATATATATATATATATATATATATATATATATATATATATATATATATCAAGGCATGTCATTAAATAATTTAGAAATTTATTTTTAATATGATCCTCTTATATTCACGGACATGCTTCTTAGTATGCTTATTGAAGGAAGAAAGAAAGTTACTATATTGGTGCATATTCATTTATTCTGAGTACTTTCGACATTAGCAAAATGTCATCTTCAGGATCTTGCATTATATAAATACTATATACTAAATAAGATTGCGTGAGCGTCAAATTCGAGTTACAACTAGAGCCATTCTTTCATAGAATCTAACATTAGTAAGAGTTTTTTGCTCGGTTAAGGCAATCTAGCATTCGGACACTACTGAGTAGGTTATATTTTTTTTCTCTTTTCTTTTTCAGTATTGTCGGTTTTATTTGAAACTGTATCTGGATAAGATTTTTAGGTTTTGGCACGTTGTCCGTTGGTTTCATCAACGGTTTTCGTTTTCTTTAATATATATATATATATATATATATATGTGCGTGTGTGAGTGTGTGTGCGTGTGCGTGTGCGCGTGTGTGTGTGTATGTGTGTGTATTTAAGCATCATATGTTCATTCAAACATGTTTCATTGAATAATATAGACATATTATGTCTACTTATATTATACTGATCATTTCCGGTTTTCTAATCAGTTTCTTGATGTTAAGATAAAATAAATCAAGGAGGGTGCCGTAGTTTCTTTTTTTAGCCCAAGTACTTTCGAGCTTTTCCAAGATCATCTTCATGGGTAAATTACAGACACGCATATTGTAACTGCGATAAAATCTGCATTACGTTGTCATAAAGATTTTTTTAAAAATGGGTGTGTTTCGTGCGTATGTTTTTAAGTAATTAATGGATCTCTTTTTGTTAATCCGACATTGTTTTTTAGTGTAAATCTTATATTTAGTGGGTACACATGTTTGAATAGACATCTCTGTTTTTGTTTATTTCAAACAGTGAGTGTATACCGGCCTAGAAGCATGGAAAATTTTATTAAAGAAATGATTGCTTTAAGGTAAAATCGAATTGCAGTAGATACCAATTTCAATGATTGAAATAAAAAAAATGGGAGCATGTTTATTGAAATACGTGTATTCACAGAAAATAATATGTGTGTGTGTCTATGTATTTATATAAGAAATATATTTGCATTTTTCGTTCATATATGATAATTGAGAAGGTATATATTTCGCCAATCAAACATCGATATATATATATATATATATATATATATATATATATATATATTATTTAAAAATGAATTTTATTTCAAATAAATCTATATTATTGCGCCAGAAAATGAGATTTGGTTTACAATTTAATAGAAGATTTATTTGGAATAAAGTCCGTTTTATAATAACGCTTTTGATCTGCGAAACGTGTCAACAATATTTATTCCATCCCGTTGGATTGTCATCAAAATTTAAATAACGTATATATATTTGTGTGTGTATTTAGACAATAAATCCTCTGAATAAATTACAAATATTATGTATGCTTATTTTTATCATAATCCTTTCATATATTCACGAATATTTTTTCGTGTATTACAATTAAATAAAGCAAGAAATACGCTTAATTATTAATTTATCATTGGTTACTTCGATCTACCATTTTACAAGACCACATTTTAATTGCCAAGTGATGTTGTTTTGGTGGGATGCCGGATTATATAATTCAAAATTTTTGCATTTAGGCAGAAAATTCTCTCTTAGGCCTATCTGACTGAATAAATTACAAACATTATGCCTGCTTATTTTTATCATCATCCATTCATATTCACGAATATATATATATATATATATATATATATATATATATATATATATATATATCTGACGTACCTTAACCGATTGGACCACAGAGGATCGTTCGGTTGCCAAGGTCGATTTTACTGCTTTTAAAATACAGTCTTCCATGATTCTCTCACGTACATTCATATCTGCTCAATGCGTAACCAAATGTAAACAAATGACGTCACACATTATGAAATAGACAAAGTCCGACAATTGTTTTTAAGACATTTTTATGTTTATATATATATATGTCTGTTTCATGCTAGATGCAATCGTCAAGCCTGACGATTGCATCTAGCATCAAACAGACTGTCGTCTCTAAGTGTTGACTTCTATGTTCATTTATATATATATATATATATATATATAATGAAATGGACTAAGTCCGACATTTATTTTAATATATTTACTGGTTATAGATACAAATAGTTAAGTAAATGCTTTGTTTATAATAAACAGCATTAACAACATTTATCCGCCTGAATGTTCGAGAGATTTTCATAGAAAATATTCGTCCTCCGACAGGAATCGAATCATCAGATATTTATATATATATATATATATATATATATATATATATGTGTGTGTGTGTGTGTGTGTGTGTGTGTGTGTGTGTGTGTGTGTGTGAAGAGACACAATTTTGTGCTCATTTTTCCCTTTATGGACTTAAGTAACCTTTCGGCCAAGACTTCTTCAGGGACCGTTGGTTGGCAGAGTGACGAAATAAAATTTGTTTGCAAATATGCGGATGTTGGAGGTAAAGATGGAACACGTCTAAAACAAACTTCCGATTAAAATAAGTACGTAAATTTAAGAACACTGAACTTCCATCGGCTTTCCGATTCCTTAATCCGAGCCGCTATCCATTAATCCACCGGGTCTCCTCGGAATTGAACTATGTGAACTAAGTTTATTAAATATCGTCATTTTTTTTGTAGCAAAGATTTGAAAGTAAAAGTAAGAGAAACTTGCTAGTGAAATTGAGCTCAAAACAAGAATGAAAAATGGTAAGCAGAGGAGGCGAGAGGTGGGGGGGGTTAACACGACAATGAAGCCAGGAAGAAAAATAAAGAAAAACTATAAAACGTGGATTTAACGAAAGAATGTGTTGTGAGAAAAAAAAAGGTTTGGACACGTTCTGCACAGAGAAGTGGAAAAGAAGAACAGAGAAATTAAGAAAAGACGATCTTGTTGGCGAAGAGACAAAAAAACATCTAAAAATGTTGAGCACAAACACTCCATCTGGTAAAGGTTTTATACTTGAAGTAACGAATAAATAAGTCTATTCATTTTTTGGTTTTTGTTTTGTTTATATATATATATAATTATATATATATTTTTTTTTTTCTCGACACTCGGCGTCCGTCCCAATCCCTTCTTCCGCAATGCATCTGTCTCATTGCCACACCTTCACCTTCACCCTATTGTACCACCCTCGCACCCATAACCTTACCCTTGCTTTGTTTCTGCTGTCGCCACTTAGAGAAAAAAAGTGGACCACCACAGAAGGACTGGTTTTCTGCGATAACTGTTACAAGCCTAATTTGTATTTATGCCCATACAAGTATTTAAAATTCATTAATTATTTAACACACACACACATGCACACGCACACGTACGTGTATGTGTGTGTTGGATTAGGTTGTATTTGGGAAGCATTTTTCCGAAATTTTTAATGAGTTTTCACCCAAGGCCTAAGAGCCGCTGTCCGATTTCCAATTCCGTACGGTTATCCACTACGCCACCCTCACATCCAGGCTTGCAGCACCTGGTATTCACAACCGGTCACCTATCTAGGTACTGACCATGCTCGACGTTGCTTAACTTCGGTGATCGTCGAGAGCCGGTGTTTCAATGCGATATCGCTGTAAGCCGGTAGTGATCAGAGAAGCGGAAGAATGCGCTGTGAGAAAAAAAAATATATATATCTATCAAAGAAGTATATATATACATGTATATACTTCTCTGATCGTTATATATATATAAACACACACACACACACACACACACACACATATGTATATATATATATATATATATATATATATGTGTGTGTGTGTGTGTGTGTGTGTGTAAAAATATATAGAAAATAGGAAAGCGATGGAATCATATTTTTAAATAAATAATTATATATAATATATATATATATATATATATATATATATATATATAATTTTTCCTTGTCTGTCATATTCAACGAAACAAGAAAAAGTGTTTAAAAGTTGTTTAAAATAAAGCGTGCTGCTCAAATATACATTAATATATACATATATATATATATATATATATATGTATGTATGTATGTATGGAGAAATTATCTTTTTTTACTTTTCCTTATTTTATTCTTTTTTTCCTACCTAAGCTTTTTGTTTGGTAACTACCAACTTTTTTAGTTCGTATTACAATAATCCTATCTGTTGAGTCAATATACATTAATGGATCAATATCCCTATTAAACTTACTATTAATCACTTAGTTTATTTTTCGATATCCTCCTACCAACACTCCATATTTTTAATTTATACCCCAATACTATATTATATTTATAATAATCTTGAACTTTGAATCCACACACAATGTAGCGTTGCTCCCATGTGAACCAGAAATTTAAAAAAACAACAGTTCATAACTTTTTTGTACCTGACGAATGGGAAAACCATGAAACTCTGAGCCGGACTTTTCTAAATGTAGGTATGTGTGCGATTATTAATATATATATATAGAGAGAGATAGATAGATAGATAGATAGATAGATAGATAGATGTCATTTGTTTACGTTAAGATAAGTTTCGAGCAGATATGAGCGTTCGAGAAAAATCATGGGGTATTTGTTGATTAAAAACAGTAATCTGACTTTACTAAGTAGACGCTTCCTCTGTAGTTAAATGTTATAGCACGTCAGGCTATACGACGGGACGGTTCTGTGTAGGATGCAGGTTCGATTCCTGTTGGAGGACACATATTTTCTATGAAATTTCTCGGACATTCAGGCCGGTAAATTTTGTTAATACTGTTTATTAAACAGGGCATTTACTTAAATATTTGTATCTATAACCAGTAATATATTAAAATAAATGTCGGACTTAGTCCATTTCATAATATATATATATATATATATATATATATATATATATATATATATATATATATATACATGAACATAGAAGTCAACACTTAGAGGCGACAGTCTGTTTGATGCTAAATGCAATCGTCAGGCTTGACGACTGCATCTAGCATGAAACAAGTGTCGCCTCTAAGTGTTGACTTCTATGTTCACTTTTATATTTACACACGCTCTATCTCTGATATTGAGCACTCTATCATTCTATATATATACACACACACACACACACACACACACACACACACACACATATATATATATATATATATATATATATATATATATATATATATATATATATATATAAATCTTGAGCACAGTGGAGTAATAGTGGCTTGGATAATACCCTTGGAAAAGATATGAATCTATCTCCTCTTCCCCCCACCAGCTTTGCATAAAATAGCTGGACAGACTTGGATGGCAACCTATCTAAGAGAGGGAAACTCTGAATTTAAACCATACCGCACTATCCAAAAAGTAGGTATATATGTGGCATGTCCAAATGAATAAGACCCCTGTCTAGCTTGGTCAGCTTTCGTTCGGATGTGACATAAAAAAGGAGCGCAATGTGCCATAAGGAACAAGAGGAAGTAATTATATTAATCCGTCATATTGGGATCCTCGAGGCGGTGTAATGATTAGCTAGCTTGTCTCGCTAGAACAATTGTAACTGAGTAGTGAGTTCGATCCTCACTTGGTGTCGCCTACTTTCGGCCTTGTGTCACATCGAAGCTACGTTTGGAAAATCACTATTAATCCGACAGATTTTATCATTTTAAACGTTATATTTAGTGGATGCCCAAATTTGAATAGAAGCTCCGTTTATTTATTAAACAGTGTTATTTATTTTCGTCTATTGGCCTAAATATTAGAGAATCTTATTAAAGAAAAGCATGCGCTTTCTGACGGGATTCGAATCTGCATACCCCTGGACAGAAGAAACCATCTGTTTACACACACACACATACACACACACATATATATCTGTATATATATATATATATATATATACACACACAAATATATGTGTATATATATATATATATATATATCAAACATATATATGTGTGTGTAGATATATATATATATATATATATATATATATATATATATATATATATATATATATATATATATATATATATATATATATATATATATATATATATATATACATATATATACACATATATATGTGTGTATTTAAGGCAGTGGGAAGTTTTATTTCTTTCCACTGACAACTTTTCGGTATGTCTTTCCAATTTCCCATTGTGTTGTTGTATATCGGTATCGAAGTTATGAATAAATTTTCCGAAGTTCATCTTTTTTTCTGTTATATTCAAGTACTTTCGCTTATCACAATCATTGTCAAGAATAGTTGGCAGTATGATAAGCATGTTTTTTTTTATACTACATTGGAATTGTAATCAACTCAAATTGACGTCATACGTAACAGTTTAAGAGAAAAGCATGTATCGAATATCTATACGAGCTTTTTTATATACATTTCATTATGCTATCTCATGTGTAGAAATATATTGTATTTAATTTGGTTTGTTTATTTTGCATTTTAATGGCTTCTAGAATGTTGTGTCATTCATTGCGATTTGTCCGTTCCATCTATTAAAATTTGTCTTATGCTGATTGTATTTTGTTTTGTTGTGATGTGCTGGTCGACATATCTCAGCAGAAAATATTCATTTAAGCAGGTTTTGTTGAAGCAACATACTATTTATGTCTATTACCTATTTTTTATTGATTTGCTTTTCTTGATGAATTAATTGCCACACCTTAGTATTAAAGATTACAGTTCTTGTTCATTCATCTTAAGTTTTCCATCCATCGACTGCTCTCTAGGCATCAAGGATGAAGAGATTCAAAGAAATTCAAAGTTTTTTTTCATTGATTGTTTACATCTGTGTGACAATTTCGGACTGGGATCAAAGCATAGCGTCTCTTCTCTTCATTTTCGATGAAGTCGCCTGGTAGAGGAGATTCTAGCCCTGCGACAGGATCTTGCACCCAGAGAGGTGGGGTCCGTGTAATTTCGATACTAGCGTGACAATAGATATGGGTACAGAGCAATTTTTCTCCTTGGCCCATATGTAGCCGCATGGACACCCTAAACCTTGTGCCACATCCTAATTTAATGGAGAGGTCAGGTAAATATAATCTGTGTGATGATTTTGTATTTTCAGTTTCAAGTGTTTTGTGATGTCCCGTTTGTGTCAATGGAAGATATGAAACTCCTTGTCTTCCTTGGCCTCCAGGACGCGGGGAGATAACAAGGGAGATAACAAGGGCTCATCTACCTGTCTTCTGAGAACACATGGCGAATCTTTTTCATTGTTCACGAAAGGGAAAAGTTTTGCTGGTTTTATATTGTTTGTCAGTAGAATAAATGTTACGTTTGGTTTATGTTTGAACTCTTATTATACTTTACACAAACTTATCCATAATGTCAACTAACATTAATCATTATATTTTATTGAGAAACAATATATCTTTATATAGTTCCGTATCTCTGGTTGACGTAGCAAGAAAACTTGTCACGACTGGACTGTTTTTTGACCAATCCAGGAACTCCCATATATTCAGGTTTCGGCAGAACTAGTCAGAACCTTAAGTCATACTGCTACCATCTGTGTTTTTTATTCAGTGTTTGAGTATGCGTTAAAGTGTGTGTGCGTGCGTGTGAACTTGCTATAACAGTTTTATTTTGTTGACATAAGGTAGAGACACGCATAAAAATTTAGCCTGATGTGAATTTATAAAAGATTATTGGTTGTTTTAACTAAATATGGATATCTTCTAAAATTTATAATCTTTGTTTACGAATTATTTTGCATACATTATTCCCAATCACTTGTCTAATATTATTATAAATTTTCCATTTCTGTATTATGTATTATCGTTTAATACTTTGGTTGGAATTATGACAAATAACTCGAAAAGAAAGCGTTCTGATTGTATATATTAGATCGAGTCATAAGTCATTTTCATTTTGAGAAACCACTTACAGTAACTAAGAATAATAACTAATAATATAGTAATAACTAACCACTAATCAAACGTAACATTTAAGAATAAATTCGGAGTACATTAACGTAACTGTTTTACACAGTAATGGCAGCGTTCACAATAGATGAAAAGGAATAATGTTTTTTCGCCTCCATGACAACGCAAACTCACATGCAGCAAGAAGAACTTTGTAATTTGACTGGTCTGTTCTACCCCCACTTTCCATATTCACCTGACCATGCACCAATCGATTGTTACCTTTATCGATCGTTGCAAAAATGCTTTGAGGGAAACTTACTCTAATGAAAATCAAATTCAAAAGTTCGTCGAAAACCTTTTCACATCAAAACCTGCGGAATTTCATTCAAAAGGTATCAAAGATCTGCCTGATAAGCGGCAAAAAGGCTTTGCAAATAATGGTGACTATGTAACTGAATAGAATGTAATTGTACTTTATTTTTTTAAGAATACATTTGGTAGACTAAAACATAAATTATTTATGACGCAATCTAATACTTTTATAAGAGTTTTTGTTTATAATCAGAGATACAATCGAGCAAGTGAATTTGTAAATAACACTGATGATTTACGGAGAATTTGATTTTAATAGTTTTATTAATGACTAAGTTAAGAATTTTCAACTTTTTTATAACAGACAATGAAGCGTAGATATTTATTATTATCTATGGATGTAATATATATATGTTTGTGGATGTGTGCGTGTA